CGTTGGATTCCCTTAAACGGTTACCACACTCATCCAATATTGGAGAAAAATATGTCCCCGTGCCTCTTCTTTCAATTTGGAAAAACCACAGGGCTCTAAATATCTTCGCTAAAAAGTTATAAGCATTTTGTCCGATGGCCTTCTTTTAAAATTTCGATAATAGATGATGTTTGGTTTGGTTAGTTTGAACTGAATAATGTAAGTTACATGGAAATGCTGCATGTAAAATTACATAGATTAAACTGATTGATTTGAACCAATCGGCTTCTACTCAGTAAAAAGAGATGTTCATGAAAAAAAAGAAAGGGAAATCTAGTGGTATAACCAGGCTAGAACTAAGTTGTGCGGCATCAAGGGGAAAAACGCGGCTTCAACTCTTCTAAGTACTGGAATTGTGCTTTTCCCCTCTTGGCGCAGCACCCAATCCCTCTTGCAGCTTGTGAAATGGACACTTTATTTTAGAAGATAAAAGCAAAATGAACGTAAATCATTTGTGTTCTTTTTGCACTCTGTCGTGATGTCAATGTGATCGATGAATTGATCTAGTATCTCATAGTTTAGTTCTTTAAAAAAAATTGTGAACTATGTTGCACTACCAGCAACTGGCATACTGTTATTTCACCTGTAACCTGTTCTCGTAGTCATCAAGATTTTGAGAATATGAATATAGTGATTTTAGACTATTTTGAAACTGAAAAGAAAACATTACCGCCATATCCAACGTGGCTTATGCCCTTGTCTAGACCTTTTTGAGATAATCCAAGAGCAGTAAATCGAAAACAAAGTCTCTGGAAAACCCTTATTGTAACTCTTGAATGGAACGAACTAGAAATGTCGACTCTGGATAGATCAAAAGAGAACAATTTTATCGATTGAATGGTCATATCACCGATCAAAATTCAAAGTCAAATTTGTCTAACGTGAGAAAGTTCAATATAAGTCTGGATTTCCAAAGACTCTTTACTATCAAAAAACTACATGATTCTGAAATAGCTATACATTCCACATGTTTCTTTTTCGAATGCTGGACACCACAGTTTGCTAGCTTTTGTTACTTCGTAAATACTTAAACAAAGAAAGCGTCCACGTCCGTTATATTTTGGTAGTGACTATAGTTCTACATATGTATTACTCACACGAAAATTTAGAGAGTCTTTGGAATCTATATATTTTGAAGACATATTTTATATGTGTAACTATGCATTTTTATCTGTTTGATTTTCATATTAGCCAGTGTCTCACAGGAAGCAGCAAATTACGGTGTGACTCACTGTATAGTAATTGTTCACTAATTTTTTTATTAGTTTCTCAACAACACTCAGCTCGAAATTGTATTTTGCGTAGTGATCATCCAAAGATCTCAGGGTCGTAAGATTTTCCTTGAGAAGTTGTTACAAAGTTCCATGTTCGTATATTATCAATGATGTTTTCACACAAAATTCCGTTATTCCTCAATTGGTTCGACAACAATGGTGATTTTCAAGCAAGAGTTCGGTTTCTTTTTTAGATAACCAAAATAAATTTCAGTAGCAACAATGATTAGGTCAAATGTTGCTGCCACCTTTTGAAGTTTTCGTTATATCACAGATGCGTAATTGGAATTTAAGATGTACTCATCAGTTTCGCATTTTAAATGAAACCTAAATTGTTATAACTAAACCATGAATATAATTGATTTAATGTACTTTGTGATTGATAAAAGTTCTTATGCATTGTCACACGGCTCGCAGCGCTAACTAAGTACATGTCTGCTTTTCATTGATTCCAGATCGACCACATCAGAATCTTTTTATTTTCAAAGAGAGTTTAATGTGTCAGATATTATTTGCACGATTTCTCATGGTCAAACAGATCATTGTTAAGATTTGTTCAATTTTCTGCTCAAATATTTCTCCAAAACTTATTATCAGAATCTATGTTTCTTTTTCATCAAGATCCTATTCAAAGCTTTTCAAGAATACGAGCCATCAAAGTTCATAATTCATGCAAAGCTAATTAAACTTTCCACATTAAATAGCGTGACATTTAAAAATAATGCTGCTTTGGGATAAGTTAAGATAATTCATTTCGCAGAATCAAAGGTAGCACTTTGAGACAGCACTGACTTCGCTTCAAATAGACTACACTTGACACTCGTAGGTCCTTCTAAATTCTGATAGATTTCTATTGAAAACAAGAGCGAACTCTACATCTTCGTAAACTACATACGATTTGAATTGAAAGTTAAAATTTTAAAATACGATCACTTATCAATGAAAACTTTTAAAAAATTATAATAGGTAATGTTAGTCGTTTTTAAAAATCAAAACAATTTATTTTCTTAACTTTAGTGTTGACTGAAGTTTAAAGTCTTAATGTTTTAAAATTTTATTTAACTTATGATCGCAAATGAGAAGTAGCCGTAAACGGTAATTTCCATTTTCGCCGAATTTTTTTTTCGCCGACGACGATTTTCGCCGAATTCCAACTTCACCGAAAGAATTTTTCGCTGACGGAGACATTGGAATGAGTGCACACGTGGGTGTAGGTGTAAGTGTGGGTGTAGGTATACGTGTGAGTGCGTGTGTAGGTNATGTAAAACATACTCAAATAAAGCTGGATAATTTTGAAGCGAACGATATTTTCTATTTTTCCAAAAATACTCTTTGCATATGAAACATAATAATTTCTTTCTCGAAGCCATTAAAGAATGAAATTCAATAAATAATAAAGAACTTTGCACTTGAACAAGATAGTAGTCCCAATAGGACTGTTGGGTTTTTATTTCGTGAAAAAATACTAGCCCTGACTGACTGATACAAGATAACTGTATTGATCAGTAAAAGGGCAAGATTGATAGCGGTTACTCAGAACAACTTTATTCAAAAGTGACTCAATATTATGTGAAAATAATCTTGTACTGATATCTAAAATATTATTATGATTCCAAGACCGAAATCAGTATGAAACCCTATAGTGAACAAGGCCATTGAGAAAACGCCTGACAAAGGCAGTTTCATTCTGTATCGATAGATTTCTTCAGGTNATTTTATCAGACATTTTCACAGTTTTTGGCAAAGTTTCAATGATTTAACGAAAAAAAGAAAAAATTTCATTGGCTAACATGTGTACCAACTATGTGGTGACCTCTATTTTTTCAGTATTTTGCATTTTTCAATACTTAGGACTATTTATTTTTAATTTTTGAGATCATATTTAAAAAGAGCATGAAAAACTGCATCGAATGATATATCTAAGTCGCCAGATAGAAAATTTATTAAAGAATAAAATATTTCTAAATGAGGTCAATATCGCCAATTTTTCTTCTTTTTCCTCAAATTTTAATTAGAACCCTTGCAAAGCTATTTTTTATGGCTCTTTTTTTATATGATTTGAAAAGATTAAGTGAATTAGATTATTGAAATTCTTTTTTTTTGTTCTCTGGTAAGATTTTGTGGTCGAAGTCGCCGAAAGTTTTCAAACAACGAGCAAAAATATGTATTCAAAAAAAGTTCAATTTTAATATTATATAGCATTTTATAACGAAACCACTATCATATTCGTAATCAGCACTGTTGATTACCTATAAATCGCAAAATTTTTTTTTTGAATTCCCGTAGGGGACCACAGTCAATCATTTTTTTGAAAAAATTTTTTTTTAACTTGGTAAAAAAAGCTAGTGTACTATGTTCAGGACTTCATGCTGATTCTAACCATATAGTTTTTATTGGAAAAAAATAGGGAATGAAAAATGGCCTTACCTCCACTGGTCCTTTATACTGAAAATACTCTTACTGATTAATGTTTTTTTTCTATCAAGTTTGAATTTGTAAATACTAGTAAAAATAAAGTTTACTTAGTGATACAAAACTGGATTTTTGCAATATTCGAAAACCACATTATAATGCTTGCAACATATTTGTCTTCTTTTTTGAAGAAGAAGATAATCAAGTACTAATTCATTCTTCATTAATTGATGAACAATATTAAATCTGATATTTCAGCATCTATGGTCTATAATTCAACGGTTATCAAATATGGAAATCTTAGAATTTTTTAATGAAAGATTCTCAAGATGACTTGAAAAAGAGTAATAAGCTTTAGTATCAAAATCAAAGACAATGTAAAACGGTTTAAATAATTGAGGTGAGTTTCACAATATTTAGAATAATAGTTTTCTTACTCAAAACTTCATTTATCTATTTTCTTCTGTCGATTCTTTAAAAAAGAACGATCAAAACAGTTAGTAACTATGAAACTGGATTGTGTCGAATCCGATTTGACGATGATTGGTTTCTCAGAAGCCATCAAGGCTGGAAAATAGTAAAACAGGGTTTTCAAAAAGTATCGATTTACCAATTTGACTCGTTCATCTAATGATCAAAGACTTTCTGGTTAAATTTCGTCGTCTCTTATCATTTTTTTTTGTCTGACAAACAACTCAAGTAATAATCTTTATTGACTGCGATCGACTCCAGGAATTCAAATCAAGCTTCTCTTCTTTGTCTCTTTTTCTACTCCACTGCTCTTCGACATGAACGGTTTTTCCTTAAATACCATCTTCTTCGACCAATATTATCAATCTCTTCTATTGCAATATGAAAAAAATATACAAATCAGGCACAAGCATCATTGCTTTTTAAGAATATTCAGGGTAGTAAGTTATTCCAGAAACGAACACATAAAAAAAATCTTAGATCAATAAATTTTTATTTAAAGATGAAATTTCATTCTCTTAACCTATAACATGTGAAAGAACGGAATACGAAATGATTCAGATTATGTCGAATATCAATATCACTGATTAAATTAATCATATTTACTCCTAAGTCGATCATATTATTTACATAAATTCTTTTGAACAACAAAATATTAACAATATTCATTACTTGTTAAATGACTAAAAACTGATTCTATTTTAGTGGATCTTCTTTTTTAATCAATTCAACCATCATTCAACTCTTGTTCATATCGAATTCGAAATACCATGTCCTAATGACATTTTAGTAGATAAATTCAATTCAGAATTCAATAAATTTTTGAAAAAATAAGCCTAACATTGATGAATAAGGTACTTTAGTATGCTGAAGAACTAAACCTCTACCGATATCAGCAATAATTTTGTTGAATTCATCATTAGCATCATCATTCAGAGTTTCTTGATAAACAAGAGTTAATCGTGCTTCTAATTTTTCAGATACTGATTTCAGATCAGATAATGTACTAAGACGATGCAAACTCGCATCTACCATCGGATGATTGATTGATTAATTTCGTTCATTCATTCATTGAACAAGAAAATAAATAAGACTTTTTTTTCTTAATACATATTTCCTATTTCTATTGCATTTTCATCAATCAGAATTGACTATTGACATAGATAGTCTTTTGTTTCATATTCATGAATTATTTGTTACTTCGAAATCGATATTACAAAGACTTGATATAATAGATTTTGTCGTGAATAACATAGAAATGTTAAAGTTTCACGATAGAGATCAGTCACTTTTTTCTTTCTATTCTGATGCATCAAGAATATTTAGTATAATATCGAGTCGAATGCAATCCATAAAAGAATCTTTGGTAGATAGATGAGTTTTCTTGCATAAATTGTATACATTTAAAAGAAATTTTTCAATATCGACGAGTATAATACCACGCAAAACTATTCGATCCAATGTTACTAATTTCTTTATTATCTAATTTATGATAATCATAATATAGGAAATAATTCATCGCACACTGAATACAATTTATATTGACAAATAATGAACCAAAAAGAATGTTTCAATTGATATATTCAGCAACTTTAGATTAAATAATAATATAAATATTTATAAACTCTCCAACAATGCATTAAACATTATATTCAAAAGTCGAAAATGAACACCAAAGTTAAAGAGAATAGTATCATCCAAAATATTTAATATTAGAATATTAATAATATTAATTTCAAATATAATTTTTTCTTAAAGATTATTATTTGATTGTTTCTTTTATTTAAGATTTATAATAATTTCATCTCGATTTTTATATCCAATAAGAAAGCCGACCGATGTTAGCAGCACATCTTAAAATGATTATATAAGAATTCAATTCGTTTTTTGTTAATCATAATTGTACCAACAAAAATATGACATCATTCCTTTGATGTATATGAAAGTGTTAGTTTGCGATTTAAATCAATTATAATCAAGTGAGTTAAATAAATAGTATACATATTACTCTAGACGAATGAATGTTGTAGAATGCGTTGAATAAACGTTTATTTTTTGTAATTGTATCAAATTTCTAGTCTTTCTACCATGTTATAATGATTACCAGCAGATATTGCTTGAAGAATTTCATCAAGTAGTAAATGCCAAAGAAAATGACTCGATGAAATAGTTAAATCAGATGCAGATTGTGTCTGTTTAGCCTTATAGAAAAAAAACCTCGGCATTGCATATAGTTTGAAAGTTCATGCCCATGGCTAATGAAGTTATACAAGATTGCATGTTCAATGAAACAAAGGATACCATTAGAATCTCTTCTTTTGAAATGTATAATACAAATACTTCGAAAGTCAAGTTCTCATTAGAATCTTTACTAATCGCAATATATTGGTTGATTTTTATTTGTTATAAGATAAAAATATCCTGAAACTTTCAATTCTTTATAAAATTTAAAACGATAGAATTTGTTTTGTTGAAAGATCATTCAATAAATGAGCATTGTATGGGAAAATTGTTGATAAAGACACGCTAATAAATGCTAGTATACGACAGAGAGGTTCGATTCAGTTTTGAAAAAGTTTTTATTCATTATAGTATATGTTTTCCAAAAAAAAGTTAGTAGTAAAATTTGATATCGATCTTTCAATTTCAACATGCTATTTGAAAGTTAAATAAAGTGATAAGGAAGAAAGAAGAACATCGTTTCATTTCAATCCTAAATTTAACAAAACGACGTATATTTAATGCGATTGTACATACTTGTGTAAGTACTTACAGAAATCTTTGAATAGTTAGTTTCACGAAGACAGAACCATGTACATTCAGTTTTGTTCCTCTTTCTTCATCACTATTGATGATTATAAGTAAATGACTACTACCTTTTATATTCCTTCACTGTGTAAGTTTATTTGTTGTCTCGAATTTTATCATATTAATGTAGCAGTATAATTTTGTTACACTTCAATTTACTACTCGTATATAAGCAGTTGTTGTTATTTCGACTTGACAAAGATTTTTTGAAAGAGAATTTTCAAACATTGTCTCTTATATTTATATTACAAAATTCGTGGGAAATTTTCACATTGAAACATTATACAGCTGTTTAATTTATTTATTGATCACTTATTATTATTAACAGCTATAATGATTTTTGATAATGAAAAAAAACAACTTTTTTTTTCGCGTTTTCCACCAAACTCTCACAGATTGCGGCACTAACTCAATCATTAGTAAAATAAAATTTGATTTTTTCATTTCTATTAATACAGCTCTTTTATAAAGTGTGACTACGATTTACTTCTAATAAAAAAAAATATAAACAAAACTGACTTGTAAACTTTTCATGTCATACTATCAAGACAAGAAAGCGCAGTCAATAAAATCTAGTTATAAATGAATAGATACTATATTCGTCTGCTAGTCACACATAGTGGTAATTTTTTCCTTTGTGTTGTTTCTTTTTTCTATTATCCGTTGTCTATCTTTCCTCTTCTTTTCTCTCTCTCCTCCCTTTTCATAATATAAATATTCTCGTTTTAAAATAACATGCGCATATCAACGTTTAACAAATTTGTTTACATTGTGAATTATAGTCTAATCGTTAAGATCGTTTTAACAGTTTATTATTATTTAAATAACTGTATCAGCTATATTATTTACATATTGTGCTCGTTGTTGAAAAATAATATGGCACAAAAAATTTCTCTAGCACAGGTAAGGCAATTTGAACATACATCAAAAAATTGATTTCTTATATCTAGGCAATCTTGGAATCATTGAACGAGATCGAGAGAGAGGTAATCTAATTCTTAAAACTATAACAGAGAAAATATGATGGTGTCTGTCACGGTCTGTGCCGATAGCAAATATGTGATGGGTCTAAGTTTCTATTCCTATAGTACAACACTCCTTTAAGATTTTGTTATAGAAAAACTGATATTTTTTTAGATCTTACGACAAAAAGATTCTATTGAAAGTCGTCAAAAAAAAAATCAACGAAAAACAAAAAAAATTAGATGAAGATTTAAAAAACAAAACAATTGATGAAACAACAGCTGAACAAAAAACTGAAGAAATTGCAGGATTAGTTATTATACAATCAGGTCAAGAAGCGTTTCTTACACTCCTTCAATCTGAAAAAGGTAAAAATATCTAAAATAAAATGACTATAAAATATTATCTTTTTTTTTCTAGATTCGAAAATAAAACGATTGGATAAAAATAAAGAAAATGCGATCCATGATTATGATGAACCAGCTGGTAATTTAGCAAATACTACACATCATCATCAATATGATGCTCATGAAAAATGAAGACAAAATTATTTTAAAAAAAACATTTTATTAATAACACTTTTTTTGTTAACCAGCATTATTTTTTTTAACCACCAGCATCTTTTTTGTTAACCACCATCATTTAAAATAAATTTCTTTCTTCATCATCTTTACAAAGAGCTATATGATATTCTATATCAAATCGTAAATGACAATCAATCATTTCAGTTAATATAACAGGATGTAGTTGTATAAAATAAAAAAGAAATTTCAAGATATTTGATCAATTCCCATCGATCCTTTTCTTAGAGAGACAAACAATATCTCGATGATCATCATCGAAACTTTGTTCAATATAATACAGTTATCTACGGTACATAAATAATTGTTGAGAATCTTGCTAATATTTAAGACATGTAAAGATATGAATGAAACAATACTTTTATTCTTAGAACTCAATACAGAATATATTCTATAATTCTATCGTCAAATATCATCTTCATTATATAGTTACTTATTAGTGCAACATAATTAGTAAATACTCGAATGATTTTTCATAAAACTTTCATTTTTTATGAAATAATTGTTAATAATTGACATTTCTCTATATTTTATTAATGTCCTTGTCCAAAATATAAGATTTATTTAGCTTTTCAGTTTATTAAACAAATCATAACAAAGTTCCATCTATAGTGAAGGAAAGTAAAGATAGAAATCTTTTGAATGTACTAATGGTATGACGATAAATAATTGTTTCACCTTTGCACAATTGCGTCGCGTTTCTTCTCTTGTAAAATTTTCTGTTGCAATTCTTAAGTTAGTATAAAAGACTGTTAATTCAGTTAAACAAGGTAGATATGTCTTTGTTTCATTTAGAAATTGTTCAACGTAATCAAAATGTGCATTTCTAAGATCAAGCACAGTAAGATGAGGATATTCAGCAATTGGATTAGATCGATTATTATCAGATGAAAATGTGTTAAAATTACAACATGATTGTAATTCTTCATTTATAACACGAAAAATATTCAGTAATGGAAAAGCTTGACCAACCCGAATGAAGAATTCATGGTTGAATGGAAGTATATCTTCTACCAATAAATATGTAACATAGATAAATACATGAGTATTGATACAATTGACGATATTAGCCACATGTTGTCGAATATTTTCGTAAGGTATATAATGAATCGAATTAACATTGTCGATATAAGTACAAATATAAAAAGTGAATGAATGAAGTCGTGGCATATAAAGAAAAATTTCATTTTGAAGATGAGCATCATCAATGAATGTATTTCGATTGTTTATTCGAAAATATAAAGTTAATTTTTCCAAATATGGCATGCGATGCAGAAGAGGTAGAATTTTATCATCATATTGATCAGTTGAATGGTAACATTTTAATGATAAACATTTCAAATTAGGTAAGTCATTCTACATAATAAAAAGAAATTGAAAAATATATTATTTAATTGATCTAAAAATAAATCATGCGTACAGTTGACTAGCAAACTATTTAGTTTTAATTCTTTCTGATTTTTGTCAAAAGATCCATTGTCTATTATTGACGATTAATACAATTTTGTAGGTTGTCTTGAAATTTCCGAATAAACTTCAATCATTCAATTTTTTCTCTGAATATTTTTTTAAATCAAAGTGTACAGAATTGGTAGTCAGCTTCATCTTACAATCGATATTATTTGTTAAAACTTACCATGTTGTGAACGATTGATGAAGAGTTATTCATGTAATATATTTCAACAATAAGTGTTGTTAATCGTTTGAGTCGACCATCAAGTAAACAAAGACAATCATCTAAGGTATACACATTGATACATAAATGAGTAAGAGTCGAAGAGAAGAAAGTAGTCGATGGCAAATCAGTAAGTGACAAGCCTGGATATCACGGAACGTATAGTAAATTGCTAAGTGGGAGGCGTGAATATCCTGGGATGAATGTTCCAATAACACTCAACTGTTTTAAATTTTTGCAGAAATTCAGAATATGTGCATATACATTTTTAATGTAATCTTCCGATGATTCTATCGTACTCCTTTGGTCCATAGTTTCAAGAATAAGATCTGTAATTTGATGTCGAAAGATATATTGAAGAGGTGATTCATCTAAAAAAAGAAAAATTAGTGTGCTCTATTTAACATCATTCTTGTTATCTTTTAGGTAATGATGTGCATGCTAGGCGTTTACTTGTAAAATAACGTAAAGCAAATTCTTGCTTGAAATTAAAAAGTTTGAGTTTAGTTAATTTTGGATAGTTCGTAGAAAGAAGAATACGTTCCATCGACAATGGTTCAAGAAATAAACATTTCACATTGTGATGAATCCTTGGCAATATATCGATGCAAAATCGATCAAGTTTACCAGGATCAATTGAGGAAATATTATCCATGGATACTAAAGTAATAGTACTGAAAATTTTTTCGTGTGCCAGAATGTTAAGTCGTTCATTATTAATGTTCAATAACGAGTAAAGAACATCAATATTGTTTAGTTTTTTCAAAATAATAAGTAATATCTCATTGAGTAGATCAAGAAGATGAACATCAGATTGATTCATATTGAATTCTGACTGCTTGACTTGTGTGAAAGGTAAATATATATATATGTTCATTGTTTGCTTCCAACCGCTTTCATCATTGTGAAATAGGATAGGCAACTTCATTGAAAAGTGTAACCTCGATGAATCGTCCATTTGGGTCATAGTCATTGAATGTTTTTTTCTTTTTCTTCCGTCAATTTTTCGTATTTACAGGCTGGCTCCATTGTGTTCACTGTATGAAATTGAAAGAAGACATCACATTAAAAAAAAAGAAATGTTTATCATACAATTCAGCTAATTGAATTTCATTCATATATTATCTGTTGGACAGTGTATTTTTTCCAGCTGTGATCAAATTTGAGTTTCAAGAGAAATTATATCATACATTTAATGAAATAATATATTCTTGAGGAAGGATAGATCAACTAGAACACAATGATCTTGATACGCAAATAATTGAACAATGTTTGATTCAATTATGAAATAAGATGCAATATGATATAATGAATCTATTAGATTCTTGATCTTAATCTTTAAAAATCTAATCTAGGAAAAAGCCAAAAAAAAGCTTCGAAACAGGTTCCAAAAAATGTCTTCGAAGTACGTTTCATCACTTCAAAAAAAAACAATCGCTGATCATATTTGAAAACTTCTTCCATTAGATGTTTTAAATGAAATTTATCTTACTTAATTTTATTAGAATATTGTTTCACATGATTTTACAAATAAAAGAACTGCATGTTTTATTTATTTGTTAATATGCTGATTATTATTTTATCGGGTACTTGAAGTCTATGACGTAAAGAACAGCATTTGAACAAATTTCGATATTTTCTCATCAATTGTAGTGTCTTTGAGAATTGAAGTAATTTTATCTTATACAGTAGTGGCCAAAATTATAAGAACAAAGTTTTTTTTTATGCGTCAATGTATTTTCATCTCCTCTTTCCTTGCGTAGATTGATCTATCAGTTGGTGTATATACATT